TAAACCCCAAACCCGAAACCCTGAAGGACCTATCTTATTTTTGGGTTGCTCATTCTTATGATTCAAGGAACGTTCCTGAAGTTATAGAAGGATCCCGAAGTCGAGGAGCTGTGTTCACGGTTCGGCCATCTTGGGCAGATTCATGCATGCGTGTGTCTGCAGATAACCCTAAACCCTATGCCCTAAACCCCATACCCTAAACCCTAAGCTAACCCTAGGCCCTAAAGCCCGGTTTGGGACAGGACCCCGTGAATATAGGAGCCTAACCTACAAGTTACCAACGGTATTCCTTTTGGATCCTTATGGCACTTATATTTTTAAGGAGAAGAGAACCCTATTGACATGATTATGGCTCCCAGACTGGTGAAACAAAGCAGACTTTTCGTCGGAAGGGGTTCTAGACCACACCCGTGGACACTTCCGCTGAACACAAGGTTTGCGTCAGCCCCAGTGCGCAGAAATTATGTGAGGTAGGCCACAGAGAGGCCAACAGGACCTACCTACCAGAGTTATGCATGGGCCTACACGTACCCTAAACCCTAAACCCCTAAACCTGAAACTCCTAAACCCCTATACCCAAGACCCAAAAGTGCATACTCCTGCCCGAAACTTCTCAGACAGCAGGTCGTTTCATCAAAAGCTATGTGCTGATTGAACAGTTGGACCCTTAAGGCAGAATGTTGTAAGACCTGCAAGGACGGTGGTGAAGTGGTTGCTGTTCGTCTGCTTTGCACTGGACATCTTGCGGTTCTTCTTGCCCGAAGGCCGGTTGACTCAAACCTTACCCTAAACTCGTCATCGCTCTTATCGCGAAGCGTTATTCACATAAGTTCACTACAGCCGAAAGGAGACAGAAGACAGCGGTTCCTAGCGAAGTTTCAGAGAATTCGGGGTCTCGGCACGGATTCTCACCGGAGTGGCATGTGTGTTGGGGGATCCGAACCTCAATTTACGGAGCTGCCCTGTGAGCACTGGTCTCGGGAGCCCCGATACCTATGGACCTATGGCCTATGGTTCCAGTTTGCCAATAATAGTGGCGTGTGATCTTATTTTGGTGGTGTGATTGCTAGGTGCTTCGAGGTGGCCATCCATGGGGTGCCTGCACAACTCCGGAACCCCAAACTCATGAATCCTAGACTCTGAACCCTAAACTAAAGACCCTACAACTCCAGATCCAAAACCGTCAAGCATGCTTGAAGGATCATGAGACTTAGTGTTACGAGGAATCATATACAACCCAACTAAGGCACTTGCAACACCTTAGGTACGAAGTCGCATGGTCCTCCAAGTAAGACCCTAGACTGAAGCGCTGATTAATGCCTACGGTTTAGGGTTTAGGGTTTAGGGTTTAGGGTTTAGGGTTTAGGGTTTAGGGCAGCTATCATCCCTGTAACCCTTGACGAAAGCCATGACACTTAGACCAAATTCCTCAAAACCCGAACTAAACCCTCAACCCTGAACCCAAACGCTATAAGCCCTAAACACGACAAGCCCTAAGCCCTAAACCCTAGACCCTAGCCTTTAAAAAAAACCTAGCTCGGCCAGGGCCCGCCTTTTTGGATCATTTGGCGGTGGCCCAGCTCGTCGCAATGTACCCTTTGGCGCTTTGGAACCGAAGGTTTAGGCTTTTGGGTTTAGGGTTTAGGATTTAGGACTGAAGAGTCCTTCTCTAGCCAAATAGGGTTTCTTTAAGGGTTACTCTGAGGTCTCTATAAGGGCTCTTTTAAGAGTTCTACAGGGTTTAGGGTTTAAGGGTCCATGTCCCAAGTAATGTTGCTTTAAAGGTATTTCGGTGCCAACGTATATACTATTTGGATACATGGGCGCTTCGGGTAGGTTTTTATAGTATTCATAGCGTTCTCAACCAAGATGGTAGCAAGGGTGTAAATGGCTGTTATACCTCTGTTTTCGCAGTTTTAAGTGGTGGCATTTTCCAAATTTCCCGCCCAGGTGCTCGCAATAAATGCCAGCTTAGAGGTAGCTCAGGTTCAAACAAAGTCTACTTACTTGGACGATCATGGGATTTAGTAAGTAAGGTTATAAGTCCCCTAATTGGGGTGATAAGTATAGTTACCTTAGTTATAACTTATAACCCTACTTACTAAGTCTCATGATCCTTTAAGTAGGGTTTCGGTTTCCCTGCGTTTGGGACTTTCTGGGCGATGCGTGTTCGAACAGATCTTCAGGGTAAGGTCCAGGAACGACCTGGGCCCTTCAAGGCATTCGGAGTTTAGAGTTCTGCATAGTGGCTTTAGAGTTTAATTAGCGTTTAGGGTTCAGAGTTTCCTTCATGGTGGGTTTAGGGTTTAGGGTTTAGAGTTCCTCATACTGGGTTTGGCGTTTTGCGTTTAGGGTTTAGGGTTTAAGGTGTGTTTCTTTCGGGTTTGGGTGTCGCCCCAAGTCCTGAATGTGTTTTCCCTTTGGGTGTTGAGTATGACAGGTATGCCTTTGGGCTCAGGCTTTCGGATGCCCACTCTCCAAAACACCGGTTAAGAAATGCGGCTGATGATATAAATCCGGCAGTGCCCACAATAAAGAATATACCATAATTCCCATAGCTTAGGGTCCTTAATAAGGTAATGCAGATTTATATCTTCAGCAGTGTATCCCTTAGATTGCAGACTGGTTCAGGGTTTGGCTCTAAAGACGTACTGGCGCTTAAGCGGGAAGCGGGAGAGTGGATCCCTATAATATCCCTTATAGTTTAGGGTTTAGGGTTGAGTAGCCCCTATATTCCCTACGCCTCTCCCTCATGCACCAGTAGGGAGAAGGTTCCTTCATTACCGTACTTGCGAGGCCCTAAACCCTAAACGGGGTGTTTTACATTCCTTCTTGAAGGGAGTTTGGAGTCTCTTTGGGGAGGCTTCCGGGTGGAGGGTTTTAGGGTTTAGGTGTTAAGGGTTTAGGGTTTAGGGGTAAGTTAAGGGTTCAGGGTTTAGGGTTTAAAGTTAGGGTTTCAGGGTTCAGGGGGTGTAGTGTTTAGGATGCAGCATGTAATATATAGAAGCTTCAATAAGTAGTAGCACTATCGCTTAGGTTCCTGACTGGCACTGTACCATGGCATACCCCAAGACCGTATTCTGACTACAATCAAGAGCCTTTAAAGGACCACTCGAAAACACTTCAATATAGGAACCTTAATAATTACCTACAGTATTTTGGGGGTTTCGCATTATACGTATACTAGAATATGCCCCAAAACCCAAACCCTATTCTCATTATTAAGGCCCCTACATTAAACCAGTTCAGGGTTTGGGGTTTAGTGTAAATCTCGCGAAAGAATATTGCGGCTGCCGTTCGGATCGCATTCACCTCTTTTCGGCATCTTTGCATGCAAAATCTGATAATGGACGGTTTCAGGTCCAAGGTCCAGGGTTGGGGAGGGGCTGGGGAAGAGTGGTTAGGGGTGGGGGCTTGTGGCTATGGGATGGAGGGCTGGGCGCTGTGCCTGGGTCCGAGGTCCACAGATTTCAGCTGTTTCGAGTTAGGGGGGCCCAAAAAGCTATGCTGTTTGTAAGGAAAAAGCCGGCCTCCGCAATCCATCCTTTCAGGAACGTCTGTCGCATGCAGACTCCCCCTTCTAAGTGCCAATACCAGCTAGGGGGGGCTCATCAAGGGGGGCCCCCAATATAAAAAGGCCCCGAAACCCCAAACCACGCAAGTTTAATTCCGTCATAGAACCCTTGGTGTATAGTATAGTGTTACAGGAAGCTCGGTGAGCTTATCCTAAAGCCCCAAGCATCGAAGCCAAAGCCTAAGCTTTAATAAAAGAAGAGACTGAAGGGTTGAGGCTGGAGAGTCTAGAGCTTCATGGGTTCGAGTGTGGAGCCGACGGCTTACGGTACACAGTTTAGGGTTTAGGGTTTCGGGTTTAGGGTTTAGGGTTTAGGCTATAGAGTTCAGGTTATAGCGTCTAGCATCTACGATGCAGGGCTTGCTTAACGGATCATGGGACTTCGTTAAGGTACCTAACCCCCCCCTCCAAGTAGAAACCTCAAACCCCTCATCCCGGTATCCTGATACTTACCTTTGGTTAGTCGGGAATGGAAGAATGGTAGTAATAGTAGTTATAATTGTACCCCATTCCTCCATTCCCTACTAACCAGAGGTAAAGGATACCGTCGCTCAGGTCCTGTTCATGGGTACACAGCTGCCTCTCGACTGCATGCCGAGGGTTGATTGTTGAGTTGTTTTATGTTTGGAATTACATCACACATACTCGGTATACTACACCTGATATAGATGTGTGTACGTAAATAAGTGTATTATTCACATAGACGTATACTCATGTGAACTGACTCTATGCATACATGTGTATATATATATATATATAGTTATTTAATTATATATATATAAATATATGTATAGATAGATTATGTGTATATAATACATACATACATACATACATACATACATACATACATACATACATACATACATACATACATACGTACATATATATATATATACGAATACATGTGAGCATTGATCTGCAGCTCATTATCATCTGGATTATATGAAGCGGCTTCGTGTGTAAAGCTATTTGACCGCGAAAGTTTCACGATGGCACGTGGACAATCAACAGTTCTGCAAAGGCTTTCTACACAAAGACGTAACTTTGCGCTTGTCAGACCTTGCAAAGCACATGCCAGCAATCTGCCGACGTCCGTCTCATGCCCGTTAGTGCACAATGCCTCAGCAGGCTCCAGCTACTACGACGACGACTACTATTACTGCTTCTTCTACGACTACGATTACGACCACAACTACGACTACGACGACTGCTGCTGCTACTGCCACTGCCACTGCCACTGCTACTGCCACTGCCTGCCACTGCTACTGCCACTGACACTGCGACTGCTCCTGCTCCTGCTCCTGCTCCTGCACCTGCACCTGCACCTGCACCTGCACCTGCACCTGCACCTGCACCTGCACCTGCACCTGCACCTGCACCTGCACCTGCACCTGCACCTGCACCTGCACCT